GACCTATACAATTTTTTTTTCCTTTGATTTTTTTTACCTGGGTTACTGAGATGCATCAGGACAATACATCCATCTATATTTTGATATATCGATTTGAATTGTTCATGATTCAGTTATATTGAGGCAAAATCAAAATATCAATCTATGTATCGTCATCATATGCTCGATGGGAATTGATATCATATGCCCATCTAACACAGTCATTGTGTTAGATGGGCATATGATGTCGCATTATATTTATCACAGACATGTGAATTGRACTGAATCGAAATCACATCGTGGCAGACTTTGTGATATCGAGAAATATCAAATCATCATCCAACAAATTGATGTAATATTATATTGTGACAAAGCTGGTGACTTACACCCCTAAAATCCATACTAGTCATCATTTATTTGATGTAACTTTGAGAAATTTAAGTTGAGTTTCAACCCTGCTACTGCCCTTGAGAAACACTATACTATATCTTTGTTAATTTAATGCAACAAAATAAAACTGCAAAAACTGGTCATAAGCTGGATCAAACAAAAACAGTAGCAGTATTGTAGGATTTTAAGATTAAGCTTTCATAATGTTCATTCATCACTACTAAAACAGCTGATACAGTTTCTTGAAAGCTGATTTACTTGAATAAAAAAGCAAGRACTGGTTTTGTAATCCTGAGGCTGCAGGTTTGAGCCCAGGTTGGATCAAGAAGGACATCCAGTGTAAAACCTTTTTTCCATTGTTCTATCTGGGTTGTCTTGCTGTAACACAACAAACGCTTATCAAATGTGTAAATATTTATCTATATCTTACTGTAGTGTCAAAGGCAATAAGTGATTTGATCACTGTTTAAACACAGAGTTGTTTGTTTTGTTCTGATAACCAGGTGAATGTGGAGCCAGCTTCAAAGATCCGGCAAATGGTGGGAGGAAAGGGACAGAAGAGGAAAAGAAGTAAAAAGGAAGTCATTAGGCTCCCACGCAAGAGGAAGAAAGGTACATGGTCTGTTTTAAGTTAATAAATGTATCTTACAATGTAAAAATGAAAAGCTGACAATGCTTGCATGCTCTGTTTTTGTCACAAAGAACCCAGAATACGTACTCGTGCTCACGATGAGGCCGACCACAGGGCTTTAAAAAGGATGACCAAACAGAGAGTTCACTGGTCCGTTCAGGAAGACTCTGTGATAATGCTCTGCTCTGTGGCCTCACACCTGCTCAACAGCAAGGTACAAACACAGATTGTGTCCACCTGTCCATTTTCTGTTCCTGCTTAACYCTTTGCAGGGTTCTTGGGGTGGGGGTCTGATGTTTGTACTCACCAGTCAAGAAGTGGGATACATCCTGGACAGGTCACCAGTTCATTAYAGGAGACAAATAGGTGTCTGTAAATTAGAAACAAAACAAAAAAAACTTGTCAGAGTTTTAGTGATCCTAATATCATGATTCCACTGGATCTAGCTAGTTCTCTCTGTTCTAAATGAAATTATTGAACAGTAGGCTGAATAATCAATTTCACAATTTATTATGAAGCTTTCAATAATCTGCTTCAAACCTGAACGTATTAAGGTGAAATAAAAGCAGGCACATCTGTGGGCAGCCGAATGTTGTCCACAATCCAAGCTGTTAAGATCTCGTGTACATTCTAGGGATGAGCTACAAATATGATCAAAAAGAAAAAAAATTGTGTAGGTCTTCTGGACGGGTTCTTCTCTAATGAAACGTTTCGTCTCTCCTCCAAGAG